AAAAGATTTCAGTCTATTAGTTTGAATGAGACTTTGGGTATTAATGAGTTATTATAGCTAATGAGAAGTGTGCTTAAGCTATGCATTGCTGTTTCTCTGGATGATATATATCTGACTGTCTCACTCCTGGCCTGGAGCAAGCACAAATAAATGGGCAGTCATTGGGATGTTGATGACTGGATGTCAGTTTGCACCAATCCACCTTTCTCATCCTCTTCTATTTTGATATTTAAATAAGCACTAGGTAGGGATTCCAAATATCATATCTTCATACTAGATAAAGGTTTTCTTTCTGAGCTGGCTCAAGGAGTGGTCTCTTGGGTGGAAGCAAAACCATCTGCTACTTCTGTTTTGATTTTCACAGTAGAATGTATACCTTGCTACATAAATATAATCTATGCATGTATCCTTAATAAAATGACACCCTACTTATTTAATGGAATTCAGAAGGTGACAGATAAATGACCGGCCACATGATCAAAAGAGGGTTTTTTTCATTTGGTTTAAAGCTCTCTTTCTTATCTAGAACTTAGCTTTTTAATTTATTTATAAAGAAATGTGATGAAATTGATTTCTTTGTTGTTGTTAATCCAGAAGAAGAAAATGGGAGGTATCAACGATTACTTTTTAAAAATGTACTTAAGCTATTTCACTCTTTTACTTCCTGCTCAGGTATTTATGAACTCCACAAAGATACACTCATATCAATTAACTGTAGCAGAAAGAAACGTGGAATATTTATTCCCTTGGGAAGTATGCCTTTCCCTATCAGACTGAGTTTTGTCAGTGTTTTGCAGGCAGTAAACATACTATTGGTAAAAATTTTTTTTGGTAACTACGTAATTTTTCATTCAAGATAAGTATTTGAAACTGTGATTTTTATCCATACAGTAATTTGAAAAGGTATTTTAATATATGATTATATACTTAGCTAAAACATACTTTTAAGTTATTTGTACATTAGTTAACTAGATTTTAATCAGTTACATAAATGAACAGGGTGTTTAATTGGAACTTTTGTTCTCTCTCTCCAAGTTTTCTAGTTCCAATGGCATTATTTGGATGCCTAGTTTCACTCTACATGGGAAAACTAACCCTTTCAAAATAATTTCTTCTCACTCTATTCTTGGGTTTTTCTAAGCCCTTCCCAGTGTCTCTTTCCAAGGTTCTCAGAAATTCCCATGTGCCAAGTAAACATGAGGTTATTCTTAGCATATTAACAGCTATTATCATGGGAGAAGAATGATTTTAATATTAATAAAAATAATTTCCACTGACTGCTGGAATAAATTAGTTTATTTTTGAAAGTTAGTTCAATGATTGATATTTATAGAATGTTAATTTTTTTAAAAAGGCAACTCTGTGTGGAGTCAGTCAGTTTTTGGCATCTTTGCCTACCCTTCACAATAAAAACCCAGAAATCATTCTGCACATCAAATGGAAACCCAATCTCATAAACCTAAATAATAACCCCTAGGACTGATGGTCTATTATGTCTTGCTGAGTCAAAGCACTTAAAAAGAATTAACAAATAAAATTTTCAAAAGACTCCCCTGAGGTAGGTAAATGTTTTCTTGCTTATTTCTTTAGAGACTACATTTCAGATTACTTGCCAAAGCTGAAAGGTCATTGCTGCTGATGCCAGGAAGGCCAAGAATCTTCTGGTTGCTAATCCAGTTCTTGGATGATTATGATTAGAGCTTCATATAAATTATGCCTAGTTTTGCATTTGGTTCCAATTAACATAGAAATTTCTTGAGTCATTTAAATTATTTTATAGTTAATAGAATTGTAGAGTTGGAAAGGTCCTTGGAGATGATCTAGCCCAAAGCATTTATTTTGTGGATATTGACAAACTAAAGTTCAGGGATGTGAAATCTTGTTCCAGTCTCAGTCTTCCCACCAATGGATTGTTGAACAAAGGTCTGATGGTCCTGGCTTGATATGGAAACCTTCAAGCAGTTCAGTAGATTTTCCAAGAGATGATATTAGATCGTGGAGTAGCAGGTAGTAAAGAAAAAAGGGGAGAAAGTTGTTCTAGAAAGAGAGAGGAGTTGGGGGGGGTTGGTTTTGTTCTGTTTTATTTCTGAACAAGCTTTCTGTGATGAGTGACACCATGTCCAAGGAAGTCCATGTTCTATTTCTTAGAAAAATGCCTCAGCTCAAAGCCATCACCACAGACCTTCTTAGACACTCAAAATGGCATAGAATACTTGCTTGAAAGAATATTTAATATTTTCCTTGAAAAGTCAAGGGTGATAAGAGGGGAGGGAAGAAGGAGAGGTTGTGAAGGGGAAAACTATGTGTGCAGATGTAGCAAATAAAAGGCAGATACCACATGAAGATGAGCTCTGGCTTCCCAAATATGGCACACTGTACTGTTTGAGAGAGACACACACCCTGGAAACCTAGGCAGCAGTCTGAAAATCTATCTTTCTGTAATGATATTCTAATCAACTTCCAAACTTCTTCTAAACTCTGGTGCTCATTCCAGTTACCTACTTGAATGATCTATTTTGATATTTACTAGGTGTCTCACAAGTAACATGTTCAAAACTTAACTTCTGATCCTCTCTGAAACCTACTTCTCTCAATATCCTCAATGCTCAGGAAATGACAATTCTATTCTAGATTCTTAGGCCAAAAATCTTGCAGTTATCCTTAAATCCTCTCTTTTCACCATCACATTCAATTTGTCACTGAATGTTATTGCTCTATATCCTCCTCCCTTGGGGATCTGAAGCCCCTGCTTACCTTCCTCTTCTCAGACTATAGCTGTTGTTTCACTTGGTCATTTACTATGAAAACTGGAAGAAGGAGTACCAAGAGTAGCCCTAGTGAATTATCCGTTTGCCGAGTAAATTCAAGCAGTTCTTCCCTGCCTATGTTGTCTGGAGAGCAGTCTTGCTTCCTCATGATAATCATGGTAAACTACCACCCCCAGGATGGTGTTGACCTTCCTGAAGTGGTGGTTGCTTCACATGAGGAGCCCAAAGTAATAGGATAGGACCCATAGCTTAAATTTTAAAAAATTTTAACAATATACCCTGGTGGAAATAGTATGCCTCTCTATACCTCCAGGGCCCAGAGTTGTGGGGATGGGAAGCAAAATTGCCCAAGTGGGTCTCCAGGAGTGATGGTAAGCAGAGCTTCTCCTACTTCCATCCTTTGGTTTCCAAACTCGTGTATTCTATTTATTGGAAATAAAGCACCATGTAATGACTCTTGATTTAAGGTGTATCCAGAAGGGTGGTACTTCAAACTTACAGGATATTATCTTCAAGTTTGAGCTTCAGCTATACCTTGAAAAGTTGTTTTAGCTTTTGCTTCTGCTAAGATGAAACAGCAAGGAAAATATTTACCTTCCTTTCTGAAATGAACAAATACACCAGACAAAATACCTGAAACAACAGTTTTTTAAGACACTCATACAAGTAACAAACAAAAATTATCCCTGAGATGCAAGAAACAAGTACGGTGAGCAATATGATTCCCCTAATTTACAGCTTTGGGAGAGCTTCCAGGTAATGGCATGGGGAAGGGGAGCTGAGAGACAGGTCTGCCATCTCTCTGAGTTGAAGCAATTGAGTGAAGAGTCCAGGAAGACCAAGGTGGCTCTAATTCATAGGACAAAAGACCCAAGAGAGAGATGAACAGAGATAGCTTAATTGTGGAGATCTTCAGAGGGTCCCCTTTGAGTATTTAGCAGACTACTAAGCAATACATGCACATGTTGGGAAAAGAACCATCCCAAAATATTAGAAAGAATAATGTCTGGTGCTTATATGGGCCAGGAATAGTGCTTGCTCACCATAGCCAGACTGGAAAAACTACAGGGAGTTAAGTAAGTACTCAAGAATGTATTGCCTTTGTAGTGAGGAATAATCATTCCTATGCTGAGCACTGCTTTGGACCTGCTCTAACAAGTCATAAAAGCAAGACCAGAAATGGATTAAGCTGTTTCCAAGTAACTTAACTGCAGCCCAGCACAAAGCTCAAGACAACTTACAGGAATCCAAAATTATCTACTACCCAACTAGGTAAAATTCATAATGTCTGACATCCAAACAAAGATTACCAGGCATACAAAGAGACAAGAAGACAAAACCTATAAACAGAAAAATCAATCACAATTAAAACCCCGAGAACAGACACAGATGCTAGAATCAGCAGAGGAGGGCATTCAAACAGTTATTATAACTGTATTCCATACAGATATAGAATGTATTTAAAAATTCATATTAGACTTCTAGAGATGAAAACAACAATGTTTGAGAAGCAAAAGGAAAACTACAATGTTTGAGAAAAAAATAACCTGGATGAAAGTAACAAGATTACACACTGCAGATTAAAAGAACAATGAACTTGAAGGCAGAGCAATAGAAGCTCAAAATAGGAGTGGAGAAAAAGAAGAGAACATCAGTGAGCTGCGCAACGAATTCAGGTGGCCTGACATATGAGTGATTGGAGTCCCCAGATGGAGGGGGTGGGGGAGAAAAATACTCGAAGAAAAAATGGCCAAAAACTATCCAAACATAATGAAGACTATAAACTCAAGCTCCAAGAAACTCAGTGAACTCCAAGTAAAAGAAACATGAAGAAACTCATACCAAAGCACGTCATAATCAAATTCTTAAAAACCAGTGATAAAACATTAAAAACCAGCTAGAAGAAAAAAAACCATGTTAGATACAGAGCTAAAGGATAACATTAGATTTCTCACCAGTGACACTGCAAGAAGACAATGAAGTAACATCTTTAAATGACTCAAACAAAATAAAAACTGTCAACTTAAAATTCTATACCTGGCAAAAATATTGTTCAAAAACAAACACAAAATAAGATGTTTACAGGCATATACAAGCTAAAAGAATTCATTACTCGCAGATCTATACTACAAGAAATGTTAAAGTCTTCCAGACAAAAGAAAGTTATATGAGATTAAATCTGGATTTAGACAAAACTATGAAGAACACCAGAAATGACAACAGCATGGTAGATACATGACTTTAAAATTTTTATTTCTCCCTGAAAGATCATTGAGTGTGGGTTTATAACATATGTAAAAAGGAAAATGCATGACAGCTATAGCATAAGGGTCAGAGGGGAAGAAATGGATGTACACCATTGTAAGGCTCTTATGATATATATGATATGGGGCAATATCATTTGAAGGTAGACTGTGATAAGTTAAAGGTGTATATGATAAAACCTGAAGTAAGTGCTACAATAACAAAATAAAGTGTTACAGCTAATAAACCAATAAAATGAAACCATAAAAAGTATTAACCCAAAGGAAGGCAAACAAAGAGGGAAAGAGAACTAAGGACAGATTGGGACAAATAAAATAAAAAAGCAAGATGATAAACTCAAATGTACTTGTATGTATAATCACATTAAAGGTAAATGTTAGGTTCAGACCCCAGTGGAGCCGAGGGTTTCAGATCAGTCGCATGACCCAGTGGAGCGGACTCCCACGTCACTCACCAGTGTTGCACCAGTGACTCTCTGACGCCAACGAGTGTCCAAATGTGAATATCTTTTCTGAATAGCTGATGAAGAATGAGAAAAGATTCATTCAGTCTTTTGGTGCAAGCTCCATATGGAGTGCTTCAGCACTACATCCCCATTCAGAAGTGTCCTTGATATAATTAAGGGAAAAATCTCTCCTGGTTGGCAGAACTTTAGATGGTGCATCTGGTCGTCCACTTTGTGTGTAATAAATGTAGCTGAAGAATACCTGCGAGTAGAGGCAAATAGCCTGGCTGGCTCATCAGAGACCAGGAAGGAAAAATATTAGAGAGATTAGGGACCAGGGCGATTGGTTCAGATGTGGATGGGCTTAAGGAATTGGAAATTTCAGCTACTCCATGGCTATAGCATACTAAGGGCTTTTGGTATTTCATCTATCACCAGTGGTAGATCTTTATGGCCAGCTGATCAAGTGTTTCAGCTCCAAAATCTCATTTTAGAATCTATTTTTTTAGGACCATTCCTGAAGCCAACTTTTGAAGGCTGTGTTCCTCAGGAAATAGTGAGGTATATCTTTACACATAGGTGGGTTACTGGAGAGTGTTCTTAAGAACCACTTGTAAAAAAGTAAGGTAAGTAGGTTAGGTAGGGAAGAAGTTGAACCAAGGTGCAGAAGCCTCAGTTAATCCCTCAGGAGTCTGAAGCTGGGATGGCTCCTCATAGTTGCAACCAGTGATTCGATGCAGGCTCTCTCTAGGGAAGGAGCAGACTGGGAGCATTACCAAGAGTACTGTTTTAGGTGAGTCATCCTTCAGCCTAGGGCAATGCACGTGGAGGACTCCAGCTAGGAGCCCTAGGCAAGTGCCCTTCTGGGCAGCTAAGGGAATGAGACCCTTGCTCCTTCAGTATGGTATCTGGGTGGTGCACCACAGCATCCACTATACACATTTTAGACTTTATGCCCCAGGTAGAAACTTTGCTTAATACTGACATTACCAGGACCTTACCATTTTTTATGAAGTGTTAACCAGCTATATATTCAGACATTCAATATCTTTTACTCAAAGACATAATGAAAGACTTAACATTGTAAATTTGGAGGCCAAATGCCATGGTGAAATGAACAGAGGGTGTGTCTGCCTCTTCTCCACCATCCCTGTGTAGAACCTACACTGAGCAGTGAAATGACATTAGTATGCATTGAGTTATCAAAACTCAAAGCAGTCTGGCCTTCCTAACTGCTCCATGAACTGTCTGTTGCATCTTATTCCAGAAGTTTGGTTTTTCCAGGGATCAGTCTTATACTTGCTGGTTCCCAGTTTCTAGAATCCTATCTCATCCTGGATCATAGAACAAGTGGAGGATTACTATATTTCATTTCAAGTATTTTGTCACTTTTTCATCTCTAAAATTTCTCATGGGTCATTGATGATAATCATTTTTATATAACAAATTCTTTTGATGTCTTAGTACCAGTGCCAAGACTTTTCTCTCTCTCTCTCCATTTCATCTTCTCAGCCAAGTGTCCTTTATTTAAAGAGCTTCCCACCATCTTCTGCTGAGGCCAAGCTCCTCTCACTGACCAACTCAATTCTTATCTTGTCATCCCTACTTAATATTTGGAAAAGCAAAAGGAAAGAGATGGACTCTACCACTTATTGAGATACTGAAAAGTAATACATTCTACCCTTGGTAGTAAATAAGCAACTTATTTTTCATTAGATTAGGATGAACACATTCAGTAAAGCAAATTATTTCCATGGTATCCAGAAGTACCCATGATAAACCTACCATTCATAAGAGGATGCATCCTTGAAGGGTATATACAGCTTAAGCAGTGGTCCTGAGAAATCATTCCAAATGAGCACATTAAGAACTTATTTGTGTTGCATTTTTGTTTGGATGTAGAAATCATTAACTCTTCCTGATTCTTGAATTATAGATGAATTCTTTTGATTACTTTCATGGAAGGTGAAAGTGATTACATTTATGGAAGGTTTAGACAATACTTTATGAGAAATTTAGTGGCTAATTAAATAGAATATTTGATCTGAAGACACTCAGCAGATCACCCATTTTGTAAAGTGGCCCTACTGAAAAATAATTATATATCAAACTTAAAAAATGCACTGTTTCACCTATCATTTCTTCTGAAGTTCTCAGGGGACCTAATATTATTTTGTACTACCAATTGGTCTAATAGAGTAATCAGCTTAGCATCATATTTATTCAACATACTACTTATCCGTTAGACCATCTAAAAATTAAAGTTATAAGTTGTTTTAAGTGTACCACTACAATTATTTTTTTTCCATCTTTGATTATCGGCTTTGGCAGGAACTCTCATGGATGTATAAATTACCTGGTCTTTCTCTCTATAGCAAGTGAGACTATAGAATTCTCAGTCTTGTTCTCACAGAGCAGGGAAAAACGAGTTTCTATTTTCCTTTCTCCTCACTTTAGTCCAATAGGGATTAAAAAAACCTCTTTAGTTAGATAAATGTGTCTTGCATACAGCTGTGAAAATTTTCACACATCAGGAGAAATCCACAACATGTACTGCTGAAAGAAGAAAAAAAAAGGTTACTGCTAAGTGAAGCTTAAATGAAACACACCCCCGTGTTTGTATAGGCAAATGAGTGAACACAGACCTTGGGGTCCCAAATGCACCATTTTGGTGGATTATTATGCCCGATTTGTCCATACTGACAAAATGATTAACTGTTTTGCATTTGTGAATTCATGACCCCAAACAGATGAAAGATAAATATGGTTATGTTGACAAATGGCTTAGTTGTAAAATTCTGGTACAAAGGAAGGAATTTTAAGAAAAACAAAACTATGGAAAAAAAATTCATGTTGAATTTCTTATCAGCCTCTATAACAACCTTCTTATTCTTTTAGAGGATGATGCTCTGACATGTGCTAACTGTGGAGGTATGTGGGGAAGATATTTAGGGGTAGAATTTTAGGGTGAAAGAAATGGATAGTCAGATGTAAAGAGGGCCTCAGTATCAGGAAGGAAAAGCTTTAAATAAAGGCCACCTCATCACCCACAAAGAAGGTGAGCAGACAAGTGATTCTTGACTCAACATCTAAGGCAACTTTCCAGTATATTCTGGTTTTCAAGAAAGTTGGGTCTTCACAGTATACCTTTCCTTTGTCAGAGGAAAAATATAGAGTACAAAAAGCTGGGCCTACATTCCTCAAACAGAAGCTGTTGAAAAGATGAATAATTTCCTCTTATTCTTCATTGTAGGCAAACAAATTTTAATACTAGGAGATTTATTTAATAGGTGATAATGTCTTTGTATGGGACAGAAAGTAACTATACTTGTCATGGTGAGTATTTCACAATGTGTATGATTGTTGAATCACTATATTATACAACTGATACCAATATAATGTTGTATATCAATCATACTTCAATTTAAAAAATGTAATAATTAGGATGATGTGATCCCAGAAATGTGGGTGACTTATTAACTGTAGTAGAAAAGTAGCTAATGACATTAAAGACAAAAAAAAGCCCTAAAAGTAAGCAGACTTACAAAGAATTAAGTGGATCTCATGCCTCAGCAATCTTAGATTGCACCATAAAAACTTCCCCCAAACAATAATAATAGGAACAAGAATGGAAATTTCATGGTTTCTACTTTATTCAAAGTGATTACAGTATAGTTCTTAGTTCCAGATGTTTAAATGATGTCTAGATAAGTGTTTCCCAAATTTCAGTATATATATGAATGCATCATCAGAGGATCTTGTGAAAATTCAAGTTCCAATTCTGTTTGCCTGTGAGTTTGCCCAGATGACACTGATGTGGAAAGTAAGAGAACCATACTTTGAGACGCAAAGATTTAGAACATATGGAACAATTCAGAAGAGCGTCTAAGGGATTTTCACTAACAATTGATGGATTATGTCTATGATGAAAGGTGATGACTTCTGGGAAAAATAATGAATATGGAAAGAGAAAGAATAATGAATAAGAAGAAGATCAAAGAATATCAAGTCCTCTTGGTTGTTTTCTTATTCCACAGATGGCAGAATTACAAGTGAGTTTTCTGATAGCCTGAAGAGTCTATGCATTATCTGGAAAAATTTTATGACAGTGAGAAGGGGCTGAGTATTAAAACAGGTTACTCAGAGAGTCCAGGCAATCTTCTACCAAGAGTCTGGGATGACTTAAGAATGGTTCTTCACAGGAAAGATGGATTTTCCTCATCATCTTCTTCCTGGAGAATGTGTATAGAATTGCCATATCAGTTTGATAATTTCAACAACATATCTGAATATAAAAGTCATTTGGAAGCTTATTCTATATCAGTGCCGATAGCAGACCTCATCCACATCATTTTTGGCTACTTGATTTAATTATTTTGATGGTATTAGGAGATCTTCGAGGAAGACATTTATTAGATTACATCACCTTGCAGGTGACAGTTCCACATAGCCTTCATTCTCTTGTTTTCCCAGTGACTGACTAGAGGAGAAGTGAAAAAGATGTACTGCTTGAGTTTACATGATTTTTTAAAACTTCACAGTTTATGAGTGCAAGGTATAAAAACATAGTCCCAATTTTTAAAAATGCAGTGAAAGAAGACAGAGTGAAAACTTCATGCTTAGTTAAATTCTTCATTTTTCCTTTTTTTTTAATTTTCAAAAGAGTTTTGTGTTTAAGTGGTGCTTTGAAAGTTGTGAAAAGTAGTAAGAAGTCATGTTGTATTTTTTTCCATAATTTATTGCACACATCTGTTATGAGCCTGGCTTTGATAACACAAGGGTTTACGAGCTCAGTACCAATACAGGCAATAAGAGTGCTTTCTAAATTTGCCAGCCCCTCTTTTACGTGCTTATTGTATATTAATTGTTTAAAAGGTATAAGGATATGACAAGCTTCAGTAACAAAAGAAGAAATTAAGTAATAGAAAAAAGAATGTGAGGAATACTTGGGATAGCTCTTTTTAGTTTTCTGGTGAACTTCAGTGATGTCGACAGGCAGAGGGCAATTGTACACAAGGGTGCAGTAGAAGAATGGAAGGCACAGTGGTATGGGATGGATCCAAATGCTTCCAGGCAGATTTTAGCAATGTATTATGAACAACCCTGACCACAGGCACCCAGGTGGATGCTGACTGGCACACTTGACCTCACTGTAAACTCACTCAAGTTGTTCTGCCTGTATTTCTATTTCAATGATTCAACAAAGGGATGCATGCATTCTTCAAAATAATAAAAACAATGGGTTGTGACCTTCAGGGCAGAGCGCATCTCCCCTTTCTTACCTTTCTCATTCTCCTGAACCTCAAAACTCTGTACAATTGCCATTTTTAAGAGTTAAATCCTTGTTACGGTAATTTTCCTAACATGAAACTTGGTGACTAAGTCTGACACCATGTATCTATGTGCAGATATAAAACAAAGCTATAGTTGGGTAAAAATGAAACTGGTTAGAGAAAAATGTCATTGTCCAGAAAATAAGAGTAAGAAGGGCTGAGGAATTACTTTCGGCTTCCTGGTAAGTAGTCAAGAAGGGAAATCCTCATGGTTTGGGGTTTTCATTTCCTTTTTAATAGGATGGACAGTAGCACATATTATATCCTAAATGGAGTTAGAGAGGAAGCTTGAGGAGATGGGGAGGGGCACGGAGGAGCATTTGCTCTCAAAAGGCACCTGAAAAGTACTCAGGCCAGTGGTATGGGGGAAGCATCTGTGCGCTGAGAGGCAGGTGACAGTACATTGCAGATGGGTTGACTGAAGTGAGGCGAAGAATTAGAACCAGGTGAAAAACCGGCAGCTCAGCTAGAGAGGTCCCCGTACTCTGCTCTTCTGCATGCTTTGAGTCGGCTGGGGAGTCTGATTCAGGATTTGAAGAAAAGCTGAAAGCCATTTCCTAGGTGTGAAGAGCCAGCCATCCCAGAGTGCACTGGGCGTCTGGACAAGCATTTCAATTATGTGGCTCTACCTATAATTTAGAACTGCTTAATTTTAACATATAAAAATATGAGTTTCTAAGCCAAATTAATAAAAAATGGACCCTGCTTAAAAAAGAAAAACTATTTGAAAAATTAGTAAGATGCCTCAAAACTCCCACTTTGGGGAGAAAAAAAGCAATTCCTCACAATTAACATTATTAATAATTCCTTAGTTGTGTGGTCTCAATGCCTGATTAATTAAAAGGATTCAGAATCTTCCAAATACATACTCTGCATGTTAAAAATAATAGCTAGAGAATACTTTGCCACCAGTAAGTGGGTGGTAGCAGGAAGTGGAAAAATAAAAATTCACAATGTCTAATGATTTATTAATGAGTTTCATCTTCTTTTTGGAATGTGGACCCCTAATTACATGTGTCTCTAATCACTCACTGGTGGATGGAATGTGTTCAGCCATCAATTCAAGAGACAGACACCCTTCATTATTTGCAAAAGGGAAACTTTACAAGTGACACTCCTTTAACTATTCTCAATCCTCCACATTTGCAGACAAGCTGGCAAACAAAAGTTGTCCTTGAGGCTTTCCATCTGGGCTCACTAACTTCGATTAGCAATTGAAAACAGGGTTTGTTTGTTTTGTTGTTTTAAATTTAAGGGCTACCCACTGCTTTCTGCTAATGATGATGCATCATTATTTTGCTGGGTGAAAGGGCCCAAAATAGCCCACTGCTGTTATTCCAGAGGTGAAGAAAAAAAACCAGCAAAAACCCCACAATGCCGAGGGTTTCTTGGTTAACTGGAATCAATTAATTAATTTATTCATTCAGTAAATATGGAATGAATGAAATAAGGACTGGAAAGGTAATTCCCGCATGCACATTTTGTAAAGACCCCAAGGAAGTAACCTGTTCTTCAGATGAGGCCTACGCTTTCCTGTCTGTGCCTGTGTGTAAGGCCTTCCAAAAGAGGTGATTTAAAAATAACACCTGCTCAGAAAATTTAACACTAGTTCTTTCTTGTTATTGTTTTAAATATTGTAACAAACTCCATAATAGCGTTTCAACCCCCTTCATGTCTCTTCCCTAATTATATTCATTTCTCATTCCCTTTAAGTGGAATCATTACTTTTATTACAGATACTTGCTTGTGCACTCAACCTTCAGGTCATTCCCTTAGATTGTGTGGACCTGCACATGCGTCCCACACGTGCACGTGACTCCTAACATATTTAAGTAACTTCCATGTGCCAGAATATAGTATTGACTAAGACAAGGCCTCTACTCTTGGGATTTTAGATTTACGGTGGAGTTTACAACTCATTGCTCCTCTCCAAAATGGATTACTCTCTTTTTCAAAATTCTGGTAGTCTTGTTCCTCCACCCAAGGTATTTCATGATCAGCTCCAAACAATGGATTACTGGATGGCAGAAGTCATCTATTTTTATATCCGGCACAGAAAAAAAATGATTGGCATGTGGTAAGTGTTCTATAAATGTTTGTACAATGAATGATTCTGTCCAGCTCAGCCCCTGAGACTGTGTATATAATTATCCTAATAATAAGTACATTTATTTAGAGGTTTCAGAGTGTTTTTACATACCCTGTTTCATTTGATTTTCCTTATTTTACTAACAAAGTAGGTGAAGCAGCTCTAGCCACCCAGATAATAAAGAAACTGGAGTGCAGCATGACTAAATAACTTAACCAGGCTCAGTCAGCTATTAGGCAAGGCGGAATCTAAGAACACTCCTTTTTCCACCACACCACATGTCTTACTTGTGTAACTTCTTTAATGCTGGTTGTTTCTTTCCCTCTGACCAGTGATTCTTGCAATTTAGTTGTCAGAATCACCTGTGGGCTTGGTAAAACTGATTTTGGACCCCAACCCTAGAATTTCTGTTTCAGTAGATCTGGAGTGGACCCAAGATTTGCATTTTTATCAAGTTCCTCATGCTGCGAGTACCACCACCTTAGACTACACACCTCTCAAGAGAAAGCGCTGTTTTCTCTTTCCTCCATCAGTAATCCTTGCCCTGTTGCTGTCACACAGCTGCTTTGTTGTGTCATCTTTAACAAGGAACTGGCTGTCAGGGGGTTCTTTTTTCATTCTGGAATCGGTCTCATATAGTTTAAATGGATTTCACTTGTTTTATGGCAGATATTCAGAACAGCTGTGTGGGTTCCTCTTATACTTATTTAGTAAGTTTCTCGACTTGTTTTTCAACAAGTGTGGTCCAAGAACCACATGCAATAGCATCATCAGGGTGCTTAACAGAAATACTCGTTCCTGGGGCCCAATTCAGAACCACTAAGTCAGTCTCTATGGGCCTGGGGCCTAGTAATAAGCCTGTTAACAAGTGCCTGAGGTGAGCTGCTTACATACCACAGTGGCAAACCTTTGCATTAAAACCATTTCAAGATTCCCTTTTCACTTGTATTTCCTCCCAGATGAAAAAACTCAAGCTTCTTTAAGTTTCCCTCCTAAAGTTAATTTTCCAGATTTTTCTCTGAACCCTCTCCAACTTGTTTGAGAAGCAGGGGATGAATTTTTGGGCATGTTTTCAAAGAGTTCTGCATGCCGTTCCCATGTGTGGGTTTCTGCCCAGTATTTACAGAGAAGTTTTTAAATAGGCAGTAAAGTTTTGGAAAGTGACTACTGAAGATGTGAAATGGACTAGGCAAGGAAAATTAAAGTGTTGGTTTAACTTTCACATAAGACTTCTTTGAGTTTCACATTTAATCTTCAGCCTGAAACTTGGGTCTTCATAATTGTTATTATCTTAAATGAACCTGAGTCTGCAAACACTATTTAAAAACATTTATTCATTTTAGATCTCAAAGTCCTCCAAAATATTGATTATGCTTCTTGAATTTTAGTTGGAAAAATAACATTGTTTCAGGGCACAGCTTTTATTTTAGAGTGTACCATTAGTCATTAGGCTAAATCGATGAGTGCTTTGTTGTTTTTCACATCATTGTTTTCAAGATAGTGGGAATTGCTTTCTTAGTTTAAGAAACGGTTTCATTAATTCCTGGTGTCCTGGGAATTCTGGAATGAATATAGTGACAAGACTTTAATTGGTTGGGAGTAGCTGATCTGAACAATTGTTTCCCAGCATTTAAGGCTTTGAAATTAAAATTTTGGGGGGCTGTGTCAACAATAGATATCATTTTATTCTCAGCTGACCCAGAAGTTCATAAGATTTAGAAGTCGTATCTAACACTGACCCTTCTATCACCCTCTCCCACATTTAAGTACCCTTGTGATAACCTTTGACTCATCTGGATAATCCAGGATA